TAGCGTTATTTCTAATAACATCTTAATACTATATTTACATAGCATGTACTATTCGTCATGTGGTATCTTCTAATTTTTTTATCTTTGTCAAGTTTTAGTTAATAATTCAGGTTTAAGTATATATATGTGTAACCAGCTCCTGTTAATGCATGGCTCACTAGTGCCTATATTCACCTTTGTTTTGTTTTAGTTAACAACCCTATATACCTAGATCAATATATCAACTTTTCATTATAAATTCTGATTCCATAAGTGATAGAGTTTTAAAGTTAAAAAGGACATCGTCGTTAACGTGGACATTTTGATAATCCGGTATTTGTGCATTGTGTTGTAACAATAAATTTAATATCTTCCAATTTTAAAGTAAGGTAAGTTCTTAAGAAAATGTTTTAGGAAATTAAATTTGATGTTATTATTTTTGGGGGATAAAAGCAAGTTGTTAGTGCATTGTGTTGTAACAATAAATATGAAATCTTTTCTATTCTATTTGAAGTCTTTTTTTTTTTATTTTTAAGAAAATGTATTGAAGGATTAAATTTAAAAATAGATATTTTTTTTTTTATATGAAAGCAAGAGAGAAAATTAAGTTGTTTAGGTGGACATTTCAGTAATTTATGTATTGTCTTGTAAAACTAAATTTGAAATCATTCAATTTTAATTTAAGGCACATTTTTATTTTTTTTATTTATTTATTATTTTTTTTATTTATTTATTATTTTTTTTATTTATTTATTATTATTTTTTTTTTTTTTTTTAAGAAAAAGGGAAATTGAATTTAAAAATAGATTATTTTTATTTTAGCAAGGGAAAATCGTGTTTATTTAAAAATGGATAATACACTCTTAGTCATAAAGTTACAAAAAAAATTTGGTCTTTGACATGAAAATTGATATTCTAGTCATTTGTATGTTGTCTAGGTCTTTTTGTAAAAATTAATAGATCATTTCAAATCTTACACAGTTAAAGATAGGTAAAAAATTTTAGTTATGTCTTTTTGTTTTGAATTAAATTTAAAGCCATTTAAAATTAAAAAATGTTTAAGATAGTAAAGTGCCGTAATTTTTATCCAGATGTATTAATAGATCACATTAAATTGATTTTTGTAGAATCATTTGTGTGACAATTAATTTATAACTTCACATTGATCAATTTAAAAAGATGTTGCAAAGATCATTCAGTGATCTCTTTTTATTTTGAATTGATGGTTTTTACGAGATGTTACATCTGTGGTTAATGCTACAATGTAAATACCAGTACTGGAGACAAAAGCTGATATTGTCAGCTGTCATTCTCTCAAATGTGGCAAGTTAAAACATTTAATTTGGCAGGGTTTTGTACTTGTTTTGATTGGATCCCCATTCCTCAAGAGTGATTTATCTATGCGTAATCTTATATCAGTGTTGAATTAGCAATGTTCCCCTAAAACTTCTTACTTTAATGATATTGTTGTTACCTCACAAAATCTATTATAGTGGTTGATATTTCCCAATAGAATTTATTAAAAGTGTCTAATATTGTTAAGCCAAAATATTATTAAAGTTACTAATATTAACCACAAAATTTATTAAAAGTAGAAGATTGAAATTACTACATAATTTATTAAAAGTAGCTGATATTATTACTGAGATGATTTATTAAAAGTTGCTAATAATTTATTAAAAGTAGCTGATACTATTACCGATATAATTTATTAAAACTTGCTAATATTATTACTGATATAATTTATTAAAAGTAGCTGATATTATTACCAATATAATTTATTCAAAGTTGCTAATAATATTACCGATATAATTTATTAAAAGTTGCTAATAGTATTACTGATATAATTTATTAAAAGTTGCTGATATTATTCCCAATATAATTTATTAAAAGTAGCTGATATTATTACCAATATAATTTATTAAAAGTAGCTGATATTATTCCCGATATAATTTATTAAAAGTAGCTGATATTATTGCTAATAAGTTGCTAATTTTATTCCCGATATAATTTATTAAAAGTTGCTGATATTATTACCGATATAATTCATTAAAAAGTTGCTAATAATTTATTAAAAGTAGCTGATATTATTTCTGATGTAATTTATTAAAAGTAGCTGATATTATTACCGATATAATTTATTAAAACTAGCTGATATTATTCCGGATATAATTTATTAAAAGTTGCTGATAATGTTAAACCAAAAATTTTATTAACCACATAATTTATACTTATATTTTGTCACGTAATTATAATGTACCTTCAATATGTTTTAAAATATTTCTAGTGGAGAAGGTTATACCGCAGAATCTATACTATCTCAATACATGGACAAGTACTGTACCTACTGGAAAAATATGTTGTACCGTAATAAATATTGTTATCCTTACACTAATGCATTTCATTTAGTTTTAATGCTGCCTGACAACTCTGGTTTTTAAAACAGATATTTATTGTATAAATACAGTTAGTGATTGTAATTTTATGTAGGATTCAGAACACCTCTTCTTATTGATAAAATATAATACATACTTATGAAAAAAAACAGCTATAGACTAATAAATAACTGGATAGAGCAATAAACTTTAACATGCTTAAGGAGAAAAGCTACTAATTTATTTTGGGCGACATTTGGAAGAGGAGTATCTCAACGTTATCAAGCTAATAAATAGCTGTTTATTGCTTATTGCTCTATCCAGTTACTTAATGCCTTTAAAATATTATCTTCTTAATAAGTTTTATGGTGAAATGTATGTACAGAATAGGAAACATTCAGGTAATTAACTGGTTTTTGATGTTGCCTGGCAGCACTGATTTTTTTAAGAAGAAATGAAATGAAATAGGGTTTAACATCCTACTGTTCTGCTCCTAAACTGTGCTAATGAAGAAAGGCATTATGCCACACAGTGTGCTATGAGGGAAATTTTGCCTATGGCCTACTCTTATATCAAATTACAACTGCCAAGGGATCTTTTACATGCACGCCAATGTATACACGGGACCTTGGTTTTTCGTTTCATCTGAATGACCAGCTGTCCTTGTCTGGACCTCTGTCCTGCACCACTGACAAGGGGAAACCACATCGGAAAATCCTGATGAACTTTCTCGGCCAATGCAGGGATGATTTTTAAAATGATAAACGTATTAAACACATGTACATGTAGTAACTGCTTTAAATACTCAAGTACAATTCAACAGGATGTAATGCAGGAAGAAACTCTAAATAAATTTAAAGCCTGTAAAGAATAGTATTTGATGCATACATGTGGTGTACACATCGTCAACAAACATGGCTTTAATACCATTAAATATCAAATCTATCAAGTTCTCTTACAAACAAAAGATGTTGGCAGAGATTACTCAAACTTCGCAGAAAATTAGCCATGAGTCGTTGATTTTTTTCAAGATCTGGTGTAGAAAAGTTATTATTATGGCATTAATCAGTTGGTTAAAAGTTGTTTCTGTTGTTATAGCTCTTACGTTAATGGCATTGGACTTTGGATGTTTAGCTCAAGGTCTGGCACTATTACATATAACTGTCTGATGATATTGTAATCAGCTTCAGTCTTTATTGCTGTTGACAGTTCATTATACTGGTGTCTTCTTATTCATAACTTGTAACACTTGATTCAGCTGATTATAGAACCGTATGTACTAGATACAGTAAATAATAATAACTGACAAAATTCAGAACTGTATACTAACTACAGAATTGTGATCAACTATAGAAGTATAAAATCAAAGTCTTGATTATCCATTTTGACATTAAATCATCCATCACAAAATGTATTCAAATCCAGTAAATATCGCAGGCTAGCAATGGCATCAAGATTTGATTATGGTTTGGATAAGTTAATAAATGTCTGATTAATAATTAAGATACCATTTCAGGCCTAAAGAAAGACCTGCAATAGGCAGATTTTAGCTCTTGCATAATGTATGTTTAATTCGTATTAGACTACTTATTATAATTATTAATTAAAAGGACCATAATCCAATATATCATATCAATATTATGATAACCCGTAATTAATTAAACCACAGAAAGATAATTATATGGTCTTGACAGACCATAGTGACAATATTAATTATTTGTTAGAAAATTGTGCATGTGTGGGACTTGCGATGTTCAGTTTTTCATTTAACTGCTTCTAAACCACGGGGGATTGATATGGTACATGGTTGTTGATTATACAGTTTTGTTCAAATAAATTAAACCAATCCCATAAAGACAGTTTCGGGGCACCTTTTTCTCTCAATTCGGTATGTCATAGAACTTTGTGGATATGAATTATTATGGGATTGGTGCTTTCTGTACACAAAAATCCATGTACTTCATACTTCAAGAATAGATCTCTACCCTAAATGACCGCCATATCCAAAAATTAGTATACTATTTTGTAATGCGGTTCTACTCCGTTTTACATCTGTCAAACACACAGATATCAAGTAATCCTTTTCAATTTCATTAAATGGAAACAGAATCAATATTTCCCAAAATTCTCAAAGTATGATTAATGTTTTCGACTAAAATCATCGATTTAGGACTTAAAATGTCGATCAACTAGCTTAGTGTCTGTTCTCAGGCGGAGCTAAGTGTAGACAGACAGACCAAATTTAATATGGGGATTGGTTGCCATTTTAGTCCATTTGGGACTCCAAATGTCAGTCAACTAGCTTAGTGCCTGTTCTCAGGCGGAGCGAACTGTAGACAGACAGCCTAAATTTAGTATGGGGATTGGTTGCCATTTTAGTCCATTTGGGACTCAAAATGTCAGTCAACTAGCTTAGTGCCTGTTCTCCAGCTACGTTTAGTATGGAGATTGGTGGCCAATTTAGTTCATTAGTACTATTGGTAAAGTCTAATTCTGTAGTGCATATGTACGAAAGAAATCATCCAATCTGAATAAACTGATAATATCCTAGCCAATGTTCTATCACTAGAGGTGTGTTCTTGTGCCAGATTCATTACTTATACTAGACGTTATTATTAGCTATATATAGTGTTTGTTTTATTTCAGATAATGAACTAATGTGAAGTGGCATTTGTTACTACAGACAGATAGATTCACACTCAGATTCCTTGTCATCACAACGCAAACCAAGACGAGATTTGTGACTACAGACAGGTTCACACTCAGGGTCCTTGTCAACACAACGCAAACCAAGAAGAGACTTGTTACTACAGATTCACACTCAGGGTCTTTGTCATCACAACGCAAACCAAGAAGAGATTTGTTACTCCGGACAGATAGATTCACACTCAGAGTCCTTGTCAACACAACGCAAACCAAGAAGAGATTTGATTAATTTCAGCGAGAATCAAATTATATAGGTAAGTTTAATTTTTTTTTTTTTTCAAGGTAAATTTAAAACAGTTCAATGGTTATTGAATAAATTTCATGAAATACTGGCTGGTTTAAGTGGGTGCACATTAGACCATTTAGATTATAATGTTATTTTTTTTTTCAATGTAAATTTAAAACATTTTTTAAATTTCTGACTAATGGATCCAATTTTTTGTTTCCATTTGGCCTTATCTGAAATAGTTGCTTGTTGTATACAAAAAACAAAACAAATGGTTTTGAAAAAGGGTAAATTTTAAAAAAAATAATGCAAGTAATTATGTCAACATATCCTTTCCATAAAGTATAACACATCTCTCTCTCTCTCTCTCTCTCTCTCTCTCTCTGTCTCTCTCTCCACCCCACATAATGCGGCTTAAAGCTTGTAGGTGAAAAGGAGTAGAGTTGCCTTGAAATACGACCTTGAATGTTTGGCGCTTATACTTTTTTTTATAGTTTTTTGGAAACAGAATCTTGTTATTATGATACATGTAAATATGCACTTTTGTTAAATGAATAAAATTTTTAAAAAAATGTAAACTTTGGAAACAAGATCTTTTTACTTTAATAATATTAAAGGGACAATAACACTCTTGCTGGCTTGACAGCTCAAGTAAATAAAGAATAGCCTTATTCTAAGTACTAGATGTGTTAGTGTCCTACCTGTTGTGTAAATTATCCATTAAATCCTATTTTACTTGTCCAGAGGGTTCAAAAATATTTTTAAATCCAAGTAACATTTAAAAAGCTTTACGTCAGGCTTTTCAAATCATTTTGTTGATTTTTTCCAATTTTTTAAATTGGGTGTGTTAAGATGAAATTTGTATCATCAATTAATCGGAATATTGTATAATAGTACAATTTGTTGACCAGAATAAAGATTGGGACATATTATTCAGTTACAACAAGAGTGGTATTGAGCCTTTAACATACATTATGCAAGAGTTAAATCTGCCTAGCAGATCTTTCTTTAGACCTGAAATGTTATCTAAATTATTAATTAGACATTAATTAACCTATACAGACCATATCAACTCTCGATGTCATTGCTAGTCTGCAATGTTTATTGGTTTAGGATCCGATCTGCAGTTCAACGCTCATTCATGATTAAATCAAGAAATGGATAATCAAGACTATGTATTGTATTGTACCAACTTTAGTAATGATGATCGAGGCTAGGTCCAAAATTCAATCACTAAATTCTCGGTTCAGAGTGGATCAATTTGACTGAAATTTTTAGAAAATTCCCTTCACACTGTCTAGTTTTTAACTATTATAGTGAGAACTGCCAGCTCTTTATCTAATCTTCCATAATGTATCTTTAATTTAATTCCTTTAATAATGAAACTAATAGCCAACTACACTTATGATGGAATCCTGCATTTTTCAAATGGCTGTTATAAAAAATAGATGTTGAATTTGAACTACTTTTTTGATTTATTTTTATTTTCTACATTGAGGATTTAAATGTACATGTACATCTGAAAATGTGTCTTTATCAATCAAGCTACCTTTCTGATATTTGGGCAGTTATTCACATAATTGACGACACTGATGATTTAAATCTACATGTACTTTGATTAATTTCAGATTTAAACATACATTATGCAAGAGCTAAAATTGGCTATTGCAGGTCTTTCTTTAGGCGTAAAATGTTATCTCAACTATTAGACATAAATTAACTTATCCAGACCATAATCAACTCTTGATGCCATCAGATGCTCCAGAGTTTGACTAGATTAGACCGGTTCGGCCATTTAATGATTTAATTTTAAAATGTACTTTGATAAATGTACATGTATTTTAATTAATTTCAGATTTATAAAAATGTCGATTCCTGAAGAATGGCTGTGGCCAGTTATAGTTGGATTCATCATTGCCTTTGTCCTGGCTTTTGGTATTGGTGCCAATGATGTAGCTAATTCATTCGGTACTAGTGTTGGGTCGAAAGTATTAACATTGTTCCAGGCCTGTGTTTTGGCGACGATATTTGAAATTTTAGGTGCAATTCTAATAGGTAAGTTACATTTACAGATTTTTGTAGAATTGATTTCTGATAGAATATTTAATACCTAATTCAAATTAGGTCTCGGGGGCCCTTCGGAACAAATTTTCATATTTAAGGGTGATGTAGGCGGTGGAGGCAGCAAGTGTAGGGGTTCTTTGGGCTTGCACCCAGGAAACTTTTCAAACTAAGAAACAAATATTTGCAAATTATTGGTGGGTGAGGAGGAGGAGGAGGGGAAGCTGGGGATTTTAAATACGGTACTTGAAGTTTTACTTAATCATTCAGGGCAGTTTTACGTTAAAGACCTACAAACTTTTAATACTTCTTCACTTGTAAGACATGCTTTGACATTTTGGTAAATGGAAATGGGGATTAATGTCCTACTGTTCTGCTCTGACTGGGATAATGGAGACGGCATATTTGTCGAAAAAAGGAAATAAACTGAGCTTACCATCTAGAATCTAATACTCGTAACCAGTTAATAGATTGCCATCCAGAAAGTGTTAAATGCCGTCGTCAAGATTCATCAAAAAACGTCCAGTTTGTGCTACCTGTAGTTTAAGAAACACTGTTTAGTTTTGACATCGGTCGTCTGGTTTATGACCATTTAGTTTCATAAACTAGACGACCAATATCAAAACTAAACTAAATGGTCATAAACTAGACAACCAATGTCAAAACTAAACAGTGTTTCTTAAACTACTTGGTAGCAGAAACTAGGCGGTTTTTTTTTGATGAATCTTTATGGCATTTAATACTTTCTGGATGGCAATCTATTGGATACGTGTATTAGATTCTAGATGGTAGGCTCAGTTTCTTTCCTTTTTTCATCAAATCTGAATGATACCCGGTCCCTAGTGCATTGAGTCAACAGGCGTGATTTTCGATTCCTTGCTTGTATGTGACAAGGAGTAGGATCGCTTGTCAAATATCGTAGGTTTCTTCTGGATCCTCTGGTTTTCTCCCATAGCTAAAGACCCCAAGCAAATTATTAAAATAAAACTGAACAATGTGTTAGTCCCAAAATGACCTGGATTGTGTCAAATGGAGGTTAAACCCCATTTCTCTCTCTCTTGTAATCTTTGGATACTGTGTAAGTTAGTGAATCCAAGGTTCTCCACACCTAGCACCAACTACCTTGAGCCATTATTTGGAGAAAGAAAAAGAAAAAAAAATCTCTTTTTCTCACTTTCTCCAAATGGAATAACTGGCTCAATGGATGCAATTTATATTGACTGCAGCTTTCGTCTGAGAATTGGTCTGGATTAACTTTTAATGAGATAGTGTCAAAATTATTGATTTCTTCGTGAAGCACACCAGGATAAACCACCCTGACATTTATTAATGTCAGAACGACTCAAAACGGATTTAATAAATAACCTGTAGAATATTATAACAGATGGAATATGATGACCTATATAGTTAAAATAGTGGGATGAAACTCATGAAAGCAACATAAGGGAATTTACAGAAATTTTTTCGTGTGGAGGGTTGGGGGGGGGGGGGGAGGTGAGAAGACGTGGTTTCAGTCCAACCTCATGGTTTTTCTCTTGGTCCTCTGGTTTCCTCCCACTGTTAAAAGACCTGTAGTGACTGTAGGTGCAAGCAGATATTGAAATAAAATTGTATCATGTTTGTCCTGATATGACCTTGTTGATTGGACATTAAACTCTACTCTGTTGGATGGCCGATTGGTTAGCACGTGCGCGCTGTATCATACAGTCTGTCATTGAGTCAACTGGCGGGGTTTCGATTCCCCAGCTGTACGTGACAAGGAGTAGGGTCGCCTGTCCCACCTTGTGGGTTTTCCCCTGGTCCTCCGGTTTCCTCCCACTGCTAAAGACCCCTACATGCAAGCGAATTATTGAAATAAAATTAAACCATTTGTTAGTGTCGAAATGACCTTGTTTGTGTCGAGTGGACGTTAAACCCCATTTCTCTCTGTCTTGTTAGATTTGATTGGACATTAAACTCCCCTCTATCCTTCTCTCACTTTCTCTACTCTCTTTAAACAAAGGCAGTAGACAGACAGTCTGGATGATCTTTATTAATTCTTTGTGTATATCTCGTTATTAGGTTCTCGAGTGTCAGACACGATACGGAAGGGAATTATAGATGTTAGTCCATACAATGGTTCTGAGTCGTCGCTTATTATGGGAAATGTAGCAGCATTAGGAGGTAAGTAATGCATGTGTTGTCAGTTTCATCATTTCCTTTATTACAAATCTAATGTGTCTCTTAATTTAAAAGGGAGCAATGATGGCTGGCTGACCAGGAGGTCTATGCTCCCAGTGTTGTCAGTGTAAATTCCTTTTATCTTTAATACAGTCCTAGGACTAACTAGAAATATTAGATACTAGATTGATTTTAATGCTTAGCCAATCAAAATTGAAGTATCTACTAAAATTTGAATTTTATCTTTAGTTAAAATTTTGTGAAATGGCCCAGATTTCTTCAAGTTTAGGAATGTGATCTCAAAGATAATACAAATTTGTTGAAGAGAATCCTGTCATCAACTTCTCAAAGACAATTATTATCTGATTTAGAAGACTGTGGTGTATAAGTGTTATGTCTCTAATGCACATGTACGACTATGGAATGACTTACCTGACAAAATAAAGTGTTCAGAAACAGTTGCTCAATTTCGATCTAGACTTAAGACGCATATATTCACGATGTATTATCCACAGGAGCTATTAACTTACAGTCCTTAGAGCTTGCTCATGGATGGATTAAGCGCTATATAAATGTACATTATTATTATTATTATTAATGGAACTAATATAAACCTCTTTGATTTAGCATTTTAAACATTAAAGATCAATTTATTACTATTGCCAGTTGTAACAATATCTATTTGCCCAACCAGGTTTATGTTGTACTTTTTAAACGAGACAGGTTTTTATAATTAATATGTATTGTATATATATATGGTATATAATATCAATGTGATTAAAACACAGATCCTATTTCCTTTTGTTTATGTCTTTACTACATCAGGATCCGGTAGAGTTTTTATATTACAAGTGTCCTGGTTAAAGTGAGGAATTAGCCAATGAAACAGTCTGTTACTGTGGGTTCTTGGCGTGCGATGCATCGAACTGTGGGTAAACAACTAGAAACGTCAACGCTGATTGATTAATCAATGCCTGACGTAATAGGGTCAAAAGATGCTCGTATGACCCCCCTGACGCGACCTTCCAGTACAACTGGTCAGATCTTCATGTAGTAGAGGCCATTGAAAGTATAAAAAAACGAATCAAAATATAGATCTGTATTTTAATCAGATTGAATATAATATGTATCTTATCATTCTTATATTTTAGAGCATAATTGCAAATATTAAGTTATTTGATACAAATTCAATATTTAGTATAATAAAAGGCTTACCGGGTACTGGCTTTAATAATATTTTATTTCGCATACGATATGAGTATATAATACTGATATAATTTGAAAACAGTATATGAAAAGATCAATCATCACAATGTAATTTATACATTTCAATACAATTAGTACAAATTTAGAGAGAAATGGTGTTTAAAGTCCACTTGATACAACAAACCAGGTCATTTCGGGACTAACATATGGTTCTATTTTATTTCCTTAATTCGCTAGCGCACTCGGGTCTTTAGCAGTGGGTGGAAACCGGAGGACCTGGAGAAAACCCACGAGGTTGGACAGGTGACCCTACTCCTTTCATCTCCATAGTAATGTATACATTTGAATACAATTAGTAAACTGTTTCAATGGCATTTAGTAATTGAACTAGAGTATACAGGTCACAATTCTATGGAATACAATTACTGCTTTTTACTGAGCGAGGCTTCTCTAGTCATTATCAAGCTATGATAAAAAATGAAAATATGACAGGACAATATATACATGTACACCACAATGCTAAGTTAATGATGACAAACCAGGGATGTAACTTAATTACGTGTACCTAATGGTAATCTGATTTAATTGTACGCTAATAAGTAATAATACCAATTAACCTAAAAAATTGACTAATTGATTAATGGATAAGTTGTTGTGGAGTATACACAATGATTAGTGGGTTTTAATAATACAAACGTTGCAAGAAAATGAAAATTGATGAAATGTTATCAACGACCCCTTTCACTGAAATAAATACAAATGGTAAAAGGATAGATTGTTGTGGAGTATTTACAACGATTTGATGAGGTTTTGATAATGACAACATCCCACGAAGATGAGATTTGATTGGTGTTATGACCAAAATAATTGATATGTGGATGTTGATGCGAGTGATTACACTGATATACGAAAAACCCTTAGAACAATGACTGCACAAATGATCAATAGTCCCCTGAAGGCTGACAATTTAAAATATTGAGTGGTACTTCACTGGATGTTATGGTGATGTAGAAAAGCAGGGTTAGAAATATTGAGTGCATTAAATTACAATAACCGCAGGCCTGAAAAGCAGAAATGCCTGAAAAGCAAAAATAGTTGGGAATTATTAGTTGTCATTTTTGCATATTATGATGGTTATTACAAACTTCAAGTTGTTACTGGAATATTGATAAGTATTAAATATGATAAAAAGAAAAAAGTAGAATTATGCTTAGCCTTGATTATGTGATAAGAATATCATACGCCCTGGGAAGGAACAATCCTTGATCTCTGTTCATCGTTGGTTTGTGTCGTCGTATATGAATGGCTTCATGTAATCGGCGCGCTCTCTTGTTGCTTATATTCTTGCATAGTGGTTTTACGTTGGACCATTGGACTCTGTGGCGAGGGTTGGAGTTCAAATGTTCAGCTACAGCTGAGTTGTTGGTTGCTGCTTTCGACTTGTGGTCATCTATCCTTTTATTTAATGGTCGCTTTGTCTCCCCAATGTATGCAATCCCACAATTGCATACTATTTGATAAACACATCCCTTTGGTAGTCGAAACGTCGCTCAGTAAAAAGCAGTAATTGTATTCCATAGAATTGTGACCTGTATACAATTAGTAATATGTACAAATTTCAAAACTATAACTTACAAATTGACATTGACAAATAAATAAATATTTCAATACAATTAGTAATATGGACTTACAAATTTCAAAAGTATTGATCAATCGATCAGTCAATGTTCATTGATAACAACCAATTATTCTGGCTTTAAGAGACTCATACTACTACCCTTTTAAAGCAAAAGTTGGTTTGTTTATAATCTAATTAAAATATAGATCTATATTTCGTTTTGTTTTTTATACTTTTGATGGCCTACACTGCATGTAGATCTAACAAGTTATAGTGGGAGTTCACGTTCTATGACGTCTGGTACCAAGCAAGCGACATTTGACCCGATTACGTCAGTCATTCGATTAACCAATTAGCGACCGCCATGTATTTTTTATCTACTTTTGCTTTGTTTTGATTTCTATTGCCGCTAATGTCTACCCACAGTTCCGCGCAAAAAAGGTCAAACGCTCGATTCGACAGACCATTTGATTGGCTGACCCCTCATTTCAAGCAGAACACGAGTTAAATAACAACGCTTCCAGATCCAAGTGTAGTAAAGAGAAGTAAAATCAAAATTTTGAACTATAAAAACGAAACGAAATTGGATCTGTGTTTTAATCAGATTGGTTTGTTCATAATTGCTAATTGGCTTATGTTAGTTGACAATGGAATACAAAATCGGTTGTTTATCTGTAGTCATAAAATTTTTAACGAAGCCAGATTGTCCTGCTACAAAACAAATCGGTATATAGAATCCAATAAAATCTACAATTCCACTCTTGACTCAAATTAAAAATAAAATATAATCCAATAAATTCAACAATTTTACTTTTGACCCAAATTAACTAATAGAATCCTAGAAAATCAACAATTCTATTTTTGACCCAAATTAACTTATAAAATTCAATAAAACAGACAATGTAAAAAGGTGTAGTTATTTTAATCATACCAGCATGTTACCCTGTCTAATATGTAAGGATTACTAAATATTGATCAGTTGTTAAACACAGCAAATATTGAACCAGGAACTCTCTCCATACACTTTGCATTCTATTTTTGTTAGGTGTGTTGGATGGCCAAATGATTAGCATGTGCCCGTTGTATCACAAAGTCTGTCATTGAGTCAACTGGCGTGGTTTTGATTCCCCAGTTATACATGGCAAGGAGTAGGGTTGCCTGTCCAACCTCGTGGGTTTTCTCTGGGTCTCCCGGTTTTCTCCCACTGCTAAAGACCCCTACATGCAACCGAATTATTGAAATAAAATTGAACCATATGTTAGTCCTGAAATGACCTAATGGAGGTTAAACTCACTCTCTCTCTCTCTCTCTCTCCCCTTATCTCTCTCTCTCTCTCTCTCTCTCTGCTTTTCTGGGGGGCGGGGCAGTTTGAGTACAATGAAGATGAGACTTGGCATACTATGTCCTTTGGACAACTGAACGGTAACTGATGGACTTTGATTTTTTATATGTCAAAATTCCAATGAGACACCAATAAGGTCACAAGACAGAAGTTACTAACTCATGTACAGTGTAGTACGGTTGTATTTCTTATTTTTAGCAGCCCTATCTGGTATTATTATTATTATTATTCGTAATTATTATTTTTACTGACATACGTTTTTGTTTTGATTTTATTATCATTATTAAACATTTATATAGCGCTAGTTTCACCAACAGTGCTCAGAAGCGCTTTACAAAACAATGAACACAATCATATACCTGGTACATGTATATATTATGTATATGGTTGTATAGACAGCTATGCTTATATTTTAGGTACATGTATATGGCTATAGAAAGCTATGATAGCTATGGTTATTTTTGGTTACATGTATATGGCTATAGCTAACTATGGTTATATTTTAGGTACATGTATATGGCTATAGACACTTCAGCTATGGTTATATTTTAGGTACCTGTATATGGCTGTAGGCAGCTATGGTTATATTTAGGGTATATAGTTATATTTTAGGTACATGTGTATGGTTGTGTTGATAACTATTGTTATATTTTAGGTACCTGTATATGGTTATTGACAGCTACAGCTTTACGATTACCTGTATCTGCTACACACAGTATAGTTGGTGCTACTATAGGATTTAGTTTAGTAGCTCAAGGTGTTAGAGGTATTGGTTGGATGAAACTAGGAATGATCAGTAAGTCTTAATCCTCTTATTATCTTCTCTGGGTGGGATGGCCGAATAGTCTAATGCATGCGACCTTGGATCAGAAGGTCTGTTATTGAGCCAAGTGGCGTGGTTTCCATTCCTCGTCTGTCCAACTTCGTAGGTTTTTTCCTGGTCCTCTAATTTCCCCTATGACCTAGTTTGTGTAGAGTGGATCTTAAACCCCATTGTTATATTGTTAGGTCAATAACATCTTTTCTGTCTGATCTTTAACGCGTTTGCAGGGTTGGAAAAACGTGACAGGTACCAATGCAATAAAATATTGATTGACAAAGTCATTTATTGCTGCCTCATTTTCAGGCTTGTTTTAGTCATTCTAGTCATAAAAGATTTCTTGACTTGTGCAAAATTCCCCATGTCACATTGCACTAACCTATAGAAATAAAGGGCTGGGCAAGGACATTGTATAGTCTTTCAGATCGTATAAAAAACAAGGACCCATGTACACGTTGGCATGCATGTAAAAGAACCCTTAGCACTTGGAATTAGATATAAGAGTTTGCTGTAGCACCGCTGTCCAGGCAAAATTTCCCTCTTAGCACACTGAATGGCGTATGCCTCTCTTTATTAGCCCAGTCGGATCAGTGGACGTTAAACCCCCATTTCATTTCATTTTATAAACATAAAATTATGGTATGTTAGTCTCAAGATGAACTAAGTTATTATTTTATGTTTCCAGTTGGTTCATGGTTTATTTCACCATTAATGTCTGGTGTTGTGTCTATGTTAGTATTTATGTTACTCAGGAAATTAGTTCTTAGTAAGGTAAGTACAACTTTCACTTTATACCACTATTTGTATTGTACCAGGAGGGTTTGGGTGGCCAAATGGTTTAATGCATGCGCTATAGATCATAAGGTCTGTCATTGAGTCAAGTGGTGTGGTTTCGATGCCCAGCTTGTACGTGACAATTAAGTAGGCCAGTTTGTACTCCAAAGTTACGAGCGTGCCTATTCACTGTTAGCAGGCCTATTTACTGTGAGCAGGCCTATGCACTTAGAGCAGGCCTAGTCACTGTGAGCATTTTATTTTATGAAGATGTTGTCAATATGTTTATTTATGATTGTAGGAGAAACCTTTAGAACCTGGTTTACGGACATTACCTATATTCTATGGTGTAACGGTTGTTATTAATGCTTTCTCTGTTTTTTACGATGGATCTCAACGTAAGTAACTTTAAATCACCATCATATAATAATGTGAAAGTTTAATCTCTAACTCTAATAAGGGAGGGGGTTGGATGGCCGAAAGTTAGGATGTGCGCGCTGTATCGTAAGGCCTGTTATTGAGTTAACTGGTGTGGTTTCGAATCCCTGGTTGTACGTGACAAGAAATAGGGTCGCCTGTCCAACCTCGTGGGTTTTCTCTGGGTCCTCCGGTTTCCTCCCACTGCTGAAGACCCCTACGCGCAAGCAAATGCATCTAGCGGACGTTAAGCCCCATTTGGAATATCAGTCCAAAAATGGTTGAATTCCGTTCCGTATTTGCAAAGATATGACAAATTGAAAAAATTCATTAGATCTATGCTGCACCTATAAGTATCAAGCTTGTCGCCATCTTTATTTGCCAAGAACCAAATTGATAGGCCTTTTTTTAAAACTCAGATTTTTTTTTAAGCCGGGAGATTATCTAGCTTGGTATTACGATTTTGTTGTCTTGATTGTTAAATGTTAATCAATCTGAGTACATATTGGCGTGGATTAGGCTGGGAAAAATTTGATATTTTCTGAAATATACAAATCATGCTTAGTTACTTTAATTAAAACACTAATTATTTCAACTTCACTTCATGAGTACATTAGAAAACTATAATTCACCTCCAGGTGGATGAAACCACAACAGTTGATTCATGTGGCAGTAGTTTCGATTCCCCCATGGGTTTTCTCCGGGTCAAAGTTAAACCCCATCTCTCTCTCTCTCTCTCTAGTCTCTCTCTCTCTCTCTCTCTCTCTAGTCTCTAGTCTCTCTCTCTCTCTCTCTCTAGTCTCTCTCACTCTAGTCTCTCTCTCTCTAGTCTCTAGTCTCTCTCTCTCTCTCTCTCTCTCTCTCTCTCTCTCCTCTCTCTCTCTCTCTTTCTCTCTCTCTCTAGTCTCTCTCTCTCTCTCTCTAGTCTCCCTCTCTCTCTCCCTAGTCTCTCTCTCTCTCTCTAGTCTCTCTCTCTCTCTCTCTCTAGTCTCTCTCTCTCTCCCTGGAATGTATATACATGATTATGTAATTCTACTTTCAGTTCTGCATTTTCATAAAATTCCCTTATATGGAGTGATGATATTATCATTTGGTCTGGGTATACTTATATGTATACTTGTTAGATTTGTTGTTGTACCATGGCAACGAAAGAGAATTCTCGGTAAGTTGAATGGTTTCTCTAAACCTCAGAGTAAACCAAAATGTTCTCGAGTTCCTTGGGATTTTCCGGAGTGGTTTCTCCTTGTCAGTGGTTCAGGACAGCAGAGGTCCTGGCAAGGTACAAAAAACCTGGTCATGTGTACATGTTGGTGTGCATGTAAAAGAACTCTTGCATTGACCTGGCAACTGAAATAGGAGTACGCTGTGTACATGTTGGCCTGCATGTAAAAGAACATATGCATAGACTTGGCTATCGAAATAGATGTAGGCTGTAGCGCCGCTGTCCAGGAAAAATTTCCCTCATAGCCCGCTGTATGGCATATGCCCGTCTTCATTGGGCCATTGCGCGCAGAAAAGTAGGCCTTTGAACGTCATTTGATTTCAGATTGGATTAAATGCTGTTGACAAATAAATATTTACCTGGTAATACGATGAAAGTTTTCTGGGGGTTTTTTTTACACCTGATATTCTGTAGGCCACAACAATTAGATTTTCTGTTCTTCGGGAAAAAAGGTAAAATAAATTTTGGTTGTTGTGCAGTTCAAAAGATTTTAGTTTCAAATTTTGAAGTTTTGAAATTTTAAACGAAGCATATTTCATTTGATTCAAGTTGCTATTTATTTATCAAGTCCATGAAGAACAGAAAATCACATTGGTTTGGCCTAAATACAGGTATAATGATAGAGCTACTGTTATCAATTAACATGGTTTGGCCTAGATATTAAAATGTATTTACACACAAGAGAAATCATCATAATTGTCTGCGATATCACCTCGGTGGAAGCAGACATTAAATAAAGCTATTTCACAATTATCAGATGTAAAGAGTACTAATAATATTCGACGTTTTTAAAGAGACACTGGCACATTTCTTTAAATAGCTTAAGTCAGAATATCTTTCACATGATACAAGTTATTTATTTATCAAAACCTAAAAAAAAATAAAAAACAGAAAAGAATTTGGGGTGGCCTTAAAAATATGAATTTTGGAATGTAGGTTTTGTTTGCTAAAGGATTAAAATTTGATTTCTTTTGTGTTATTTGGTTAATCAACAGCTGATCTGAAGGTAGTTGATAATCCTGAATCAATAGAAAATGGCTATGTAGCAGCAGAAAATGTAGATATGAATATTGAATCAGGTTTGTATATGATTTAATTCTATCTGGAGACTCTGTTGAATCTTCCAGAATTGAATTCTTCCAATCCCACCAGAATTAAATTCTCCCAATCCAACCAACTATGAACATTCCAGAATTGAATTCTTCCAATCCCACCAAAGTTGAACTTTCCAGAATTGAATTCTTCCCATCCCACCAAAGTTGAACTTTCCAGAATTAAATTCTTCCAATCCCACCAAACATGAACTTTTCGGAATTGAATTATCCCAATCAGTAATGGTCTCCAAAATGACAGATTTTGTGGAAAAGTGGGAAGTACGTTGTTTTTAAAATTATGTTTGGTTGTTTATGGTTATTTTTGTAGTAAATTTCTGTGCATTGTTTTGGTAAGAGGAACTTCTTTTGAGAGTTTAGAATTAAAAATATCTGATTATCATTTTGAACTCTTTTTCAGGTTTATTAAAAAATGATCGTAATCAAAATGAAGATAAAAATGTAAGTAAATATATAATAACTTCTCATTAAGGGACCCCTTATATATGTATGTATAAGCAAACATTTGGACCATGGTTAGCATTTGTCATCACAGCAATTGACCATAATGTCATGTTTTCAATTCCTGCAATTGTTCAGCATTGATGAATAATACATGTTTTCTAGAAGGATACCAGGCTCCGTCTGGGGCCCAGAGCCTGGCAGTCATAACACCAAAACCGGAGGTGGTAGTCCATCGCCACCAGGCCTATGTTACTCGCCGGTCCGAGCTACCTCTATATACCAAATTTCAGCCTCAGGACAGCTGTAGTGTAGCCGCCAAACCCTTAACAGACAGGCAGAGAAACAACAGTCACAAATATTAGTATAGATTTCAGAACATTGACTTTGTACAGAGACATTTTGTGAACCTTATAATTTGAGTCAACTTTAGTATTTATTGTAATTAGATTATAATGTATACTTATATTTTATTTAGGCCAAAAATCAATTAGATACACCCATAGTTAAAAATCAAGGCAGAAGAAAAATTCCTAATCCATTTAAAAAGAAAGTCAAAATCCCAGAAAAGGAAGGTAAGCTAATAAGATATATTTTTAACCAATAATACCTATCATTTGGCCCAAAGGATGGCACGAAAAAACTTTTGATAAACCTAAAGTCTTTACCTTCATTTAGTCGGAAAGCTAAATATGGAGTAGAATAATACCAGGTGAATTGAATCATTACACAATATTCGTACCCAGACGTAGACTTGTCCCTGCTCACTTACGTCTTGCCAATTGTTGAACAAGGCATTCACTGGACCTGGCAAACAGTTAATAAGTCAGTTAGAAAACCATTGTTCTTTTCAGACCATCACCCTAATGTAATAATAAGAATAGTAAGTGCAGGGTGACTGCACCACACACAATACACAAGACAAAGCTACAGACAGGACACAATATACATACAGACATCACAAACAACACACGCACATATCATATAGTGGGAGAACGCTAGATCGGAGACGGTCCTGCACATATGACGTCGTATGTGGATTGTGCGTTAGGGTTGTTTAGGGTAAGACTTGGTCCAGGGTTAGGGATAGGGTTAGTGCTAGCCCTGTTTACATCTCCAGACATTGAGACATCACAAATAACACACGCACATATCAGATCAAGTAGATGTATGCGGGGCCTAGCCTCTGGTTCTGCACATTTTTTAAAAATATTTTCATTTGTTACAGAAACAACAGTCGCAACCATTGTCACAGACATAGATGCAGAAAGTGCACCACTAAAAATAAAAGATATTGAGGCTGATTCACCTGATGTTACTATATCAAATCAAAGCTTGACCCGAGGTCGCGATGAGGTCAAGGACAAACCAGAAGCCGCTAGATTATTTTCATTCCTACAGATTTTAACGGCTATTTTTGGTTCTTTTGCTCATGGTGGAAATGATGTCAGGTAAAATTCTCTTCCGTAAACTTGTAGGCGTGACCACAAATAGTCTCAGTCAAAATGGCTATATGTGGCCGAATGATTAACACATGCTCGCTGGATCAGAATGTCTGTCATTGAGTCATGTGACAAGGAGTAGGGTTGCCTGTCCAACCTTCTGGGTTTTCTCTGGGTCCTCCAGTTTCCTCCCATTGCTAAAGACCCTTGTGTTCAACCACTAAGTTGGCAGAGAAAGTTCATCAGGATTTTCCCGTGCGGTTCCCCCTTGTCAGTGGTGTAGAATGGAGGGTATAGTGAGGGATAATTTGTAGTTGTTCAGATGGGATGGAAAATCAAGGTCACATGTACACGAGACTGAATGTATAAAAAAACATTTGCTTAATGCTGACCAACCAGAGACACCCTTCTCGTCGAAATGTCTGTATTCCACAGAATTGTGACACAGTAACCCAGGTATCATTTAATCTTGTGTATCTAGCACTAATTTCTTTCTCATTTGTTTAATATCAGATCTTTGTTTAAAAATTCGTAAAAATCGTTTAAAATCACCAAAAATCATCTAATTTGTACTTGTGTCCAGTTTAAAGCTGACTGATTAATTTTGATAATGAGTGTCCAATTTACAAGTATTTAATTTCCTGACCACTGTCCAAACATTAATCATTATACATCATTAATCAAATGGGTTGTTTATTTTTCAACAGTGATTGAGAAATTAAACACTTGTAAATTGAACACTCATTATCAAAATTGAATGGTCAGCTTTAAACTGGACACTAGTACAAATTAGAAGATTTATGGTGATTTTAAACGTTTTTTACGAATTTTTAAACAAAAATTTGATATTGAACATATGTGAAAGAAATTAGTGCTAGATACGCAAGATTAAATGTTACCTTGGTTACAGTGTGACCTGTGTAATAGAGTTCTATTACTAAGTGGCATTGAAACAATTTGAAATATTGTTTGTTTTTATTTCAGTAATGCTATTGGTCCAGTAGTAGCTTTATGGATGATCTCTAATGAAGGTACTGTGATGCAGAAAGCTCCCACACCTATCTGGATTCTATTATTTGGAGGTGTTGGTATATCTATTGGTCTGTGTGTATGGGGAAGGAGGGTGATGAAAACTATGGGCGAAGATTTATCTAAAATAACACCATCTAGGTAAGTTTCAGACTTAACCTTTAGCCGGGGGGTAGTGGTTGGGTGCTGAATGGTTTAACGTGTGCTCGTTAGAGCATGAGGTTTGTCATTGAGTCGGGGGGTTGGATGGCCGAATGGTTAGCACGCGCGCGCTGTATCATACGATCTGTCATTGAGTCAACTGCCGTGGTTTCGATTCCCCGGTTGTACGTGGCAAGGAGTAAGGTCGCCTGTCCAACCTCGTGGGTTTTCTCCGGGTCCTCCGGTTTCCTCCCACTGCTAAAGACCCCTACGCGCAAGCGAATTATTGAAACAAAATTGAACCATGTGTTAGTCCGGAGTTATTGAGTCAATTGGTGTGGTTTCGATTCCCCGCTTTCACATGACAAGGAGTAGGGTCTAACCTTCTGGAAATTATTGATATAAAATTGAACCAAATGTAAGTCCCGAAATGACCCTGTTTGTGTCGAGTGGACGCTAAACCCTGGTTTGTGATTTTAAAGAGCTTGGGAGTCAAGTCACGTTGAGTTGTCATAACTCTTATTTACCTAAATGGCTCTATAAGATTACGTAATATGTTGTTCACCTATTATGAGTTCTCATTTTTATCTTTCAGTGGTTTTTGTATTGAGATTGGATCAGCTTTAACTGTTTTGATTGCATCCAATGTCGGCATTCCAATATCCACGACCCATTGCAAAGTTGGATCCATTGTATTTGTTGGACGAGCTCGCTCAAATGAAAATGTTGATTGGTCGTTGTTCAGAAATATCATCGTAGCTTGGCTGGTAACGCTGCCGATCTCGGGAGGATTGAGTGCAGCCATATTTGCTGGATTGCAATTAACTATTTAAATGTAGATCCATTGTTTTGGCTGTTTGTTTTGAAGACATGTATGCTGTTTTGGTTGTTTGTTTTGAAGACATGTATGCTGTTTTGGCTGTTTGTTTTGAAAATATATACAATGTTTTTGGCTGTTTCTTTTGAAAACATGTGTGATGTTTTGGCAGTTGCCTTTGAAAACATATATGCTGTTTTGGCCGCTGCCGTTGACAACGAAGTTTAGTAGACAAACATTAATGAGTAAATGAAATTTCCATGTCAAAAGATGTCAAACAGCCATACAGGAAGTGAAATGAAATGTGATACCAGTGCAGTAAATAATTTACTGCGGTCCTGTGCTTTAAATAAAAACAAAATTCCTTCCATAGAAATGTTCAAGAGTGAAGATAACTGCTTGTGTTTATAAAAATTTTGTTTGTTAGCCGCACAGTGTCCAGCCGCACAGTGTCACGTAAGCTTGAAGAGTTCGCATAAAAACGAAACTAGTAGCTTCGTGAGAGAAATCGGTGACGGCTACTCGCCACTTATAGATTTCCAATTTTGTTTTTGATATAGATAATGGTTGTCAATCAAGCATAATATAATGACATCTGCTTTTGTGGCCATTTTGAATACGATGTACACATAAAATAATTAACCATGAAACTAATGCAGATGGTGGCCTAGAAGTTCATGAGAATCTTAATAAAGCAAAGATTTTTGTATTGTTAAACATCATAATCCTTTGAGATTTTTTAGCTAAATATTTGTCAAAATTGATCAATTTCACTGCCATTTGTTAGATGTAAAATTCTGCCCTAATTAGGATCATGAACTCTATTTATTTCAATAACAAAATTGACAACGATAAATCAAAGAAGTTAACTAAAAAAGAAAAACCCAATAATCTGTGCTAAATATTAATTAATTAACATTAATTAAAATATGAAACTGCTGATCGGGTAAGATAGCCGAAGTGCCTTATTTATTTTTGTTATATAACAAAATAAAAGAATTATATGTATATTAACTGATTTGAGTAAATTTAAATATGTATATAATATATTCAACCATATATCAGCCTTGCTCATGTATTTAAATGATATGAGAGAGAAAGAAACAGGGTTTAACGTCCACTCAACACAAACTAGGTCATTTCGGGACTAATATATGGTTCAATTTTATTTCAATAATTCAGTTGAGCGTAGGGGTCTTTAGCAGTGGGGGGAAACCGGAGAACCCAAAGAAAACTCACCAGGTTGGACAGGCGAGCCTACTCTTTGTCATGTACAACCAGGGAATCGAAACCACGCTAGTTGACTCAATGTCAGACCATATGATACAGCACGCACGTGCTAACCATTCGGCCATCCATCATGTGTTAAGTGGACGCTTATAACTTAAACCCTGGATCCTTTCACTTGATTTGATATCTGTTGTTTATATCTTGAAATGTGTATATATTCTGTCTTGTCCGCAGGCTTATCTTGTATTTAAATGATATTTGTTAAGTGGACGCGTACAACTGGTCCCCCGGATCCATTCACTTGACTTGATATTAGATGTTTATTTTTTGCAATGTCTATATAATTCTGTCTTGTCCGCAGGTTTATCTTGTCGGTTTTGGTTTGTGTGTAGTGCGGTCCTCCTGCACTTACTGTTTAAATTATGCTTAAAGTCGTTTAGAATTGATCTTTCATTATTTTTTTTACACCATTGTTTGTATACATGTATTTAAGTACTGTAATTATACGCAATTCATTTTTCCAGAATAATTCGGTCGTGTTTATCTGTTTGTCTGTCTGTTTGTTCAGGTTCCCACTGTCGTGCGATGCATTACGATAGGATTGTCCACGATCTGGTACATGCAGATACTTTCGGATACGTTTCGATACGATCAACATGATTGCTATGACTGACCTTAATAAGACCTGATGGGATCTTCACGATGAAAATCGTGATAGTGGGAACCTAGCATAGTATTATACTTTTACCCAAAAGTATAATTTTTTTTCAATTATTTGGAGTTATAGAAGTAGATATGTATGGTTATAATGTAGACAAGTTGTTTAGATTGTAGTATACTGGCAGATATTTTATTAGTAATTTAGAATTATTGATTGTTTTGAAATTTTACTAGCAATGAAGTAAAGTAGATTGTTTTGAAATTTTATTAGTATTTCAGTAGGCCTATTATTTCTTGTTTTGAAATTGTACTGGCAATTTGGTAGGCCTATTATTTCTTGTTTTGAAATTGTACTGGCAATTCGATAGGCCTATTATTGATTGTTTAGATATTTTATTAGTAATTCAGTATTGCTTGATTTAAAACTTTACTAGCAAGTCAGTACAACTATAGATTGTTTTGAAATTTTACTAGTAATTAAGTATTAATGATGGAATTGAAATTTTACTAGAAATTAATTATTATTGTTTGTTTTGAAATTTTTACTAGCATTTCAGTATTGTTACAACTTCAGTTTTAATTATTGTTTTGAAATTTATCTAGTAATTCAGTTCAATAGATTAGTTTAAAATTTTACTAGTCATTAAGTATTAATGATGGAATTGAAATTTCACTAGAAATTAATTATTATTGTTTGTTTTGAAATTTTACTAGCATTTCAGTATTGTTACAACTTCAGTTTTAATTATTGTTTTGAAATTTAACTAGTAATTCATTCACTAGATTAGTTTAAAATTTTACTAGTAATTCAGTAGGCCTAATATTGATTGTTTTGAAATGTTAAATATATTTGCCAAACAGATTATTTAATAACCTTGGAACACATGAAAAAACAGCGGCCCACCTGGCTAAATAATATATGAAAAATATTTGAATTTTGCAAAATAAAAACATGGCAAGTCATAGACGCCATACAACCGTAGACATACTAGTCATATACACATTTAGAATGATTCAAACTTAATAAAGAAAAAACAATGTTTTGAACTTACCAGTAGACACCAGTGAATACTTAATTGGAATTGCATGTTTTTTCGCATTTTCTTGGTGTGTCGTTCAAAATTTCGCGGCACACCTAGGAAGATCTCGCGGCACACTGGTTGAGAATCACTGTGCTAGACCATAAGATGGCAGAGATTTAAAAGGATTAAAAATTCTCTCAAGATTTAAAAATTACCTTTTCCGCGATAATAAACAATCTACGCTACATCTTCAAACAGTCATAACTTTCATGATCTATTTTTGAACTATCAGAAATTAATCTAAATCTTACATACTTAGACAACTTGAGATTACTGTAATATGACTTATATATTTCATGTTTTTAAGTTATATTTATATATATATCTTGCCAAAATATCCTTACAAACAGTATTTAATGGGTGAATGAGATTTTTTCCCTAGTAATAATATCATTACTTGAACTAGAAATTCATAGGACATAATTTTATAAAACAAAACAGAGAGAGACAGAGAGAGTTTAACTCCACTCCACACAAACTAGGTCATTTCGAGACTAACACATGGTACAATTTTATTTCAATAATTTGCTTGCGCGTAGGGGTCTTTAGCAGTGGGAGGAAACCAGAGGACCTGGAGAAAATTCATGTGATTGGACTGGCGACCCTACTCCTTGTCACGTACAACCGGGGAATTGAAACCTCGCCGGTTGACTCAATGATAGACCTTATGATACAGCGCGTACATGCTAACCATTCAGCCATCCAACCACCAGCTGGACTAGTCGGTACAGAATAACAATAAGTATTTCATGGTAGGTGCGTATGAAATACAGATCCTGCCATGGCAAAATCAGTCCTAAACACTATATACTCTAGTCTGTATTTTGCTATCCTAAAAATATTCAAGTTAAAATGCTGCCTCGACAGGTTAAAGTTAAACTGCTGCCTTGGCAAAATCAGCCCTAAGCTATATACTCTAGTCTGTATTTTGCTGGCATAAAACATTGAAATTAAAATGCTGCCTTGACAAAATCAGCCTTAAATTCTATACTCTAAAACTACCAGGGCCCTGTTTCTCGAAATCTTAACTAAAGATAAAATCCAAATTTTAGTAGATACTTCAATTTTGATTGGCTAAGCACTAAAATCAATCTAATATTATCCAATCAAATTACTAAAATTTGGATTTTATCTTATTTAAAATTTCGTGAAACAGGCCCCTGGGTATATTAAATAGATTGAAACATATTAAATCACCTGTTGTAGTTTACAGTTTCCAACCATAATATAAATTTTTGCTCAAAATAAGAATTGACACAAAACCCATTACTGTAAAAAAACATATCAAATTCTGATGCAAAAGAAAAAAAGAATTGTCAATGCATAATATTATTTTCATATCATTTAATATTCATTTACAGTTGCTAGATATTATTATACATTTATAGATTATTTCTAGACCCAAGAACCAGTGTCACAAAACATTCTCTGACTTTAAAGATGGGTTCCCGCGTACAAACTGGGTGATTAAGTGGTATATATGGACTAAAAACATATTCAAACTAATTAATTTGTCATAATTATGCTTCAAATCCTTCTCAAACATTGTAATTGCGAAGGAATGCCCAGCTATTAAAATTTGATCAAACCAGGTCATGTTTACGTCACGTCTTGGGAGTCAGAGGAGAATTCATTGCATACATAAGACGATGTTGTCTTTAATCGCTTACTATTTATAACAAATATCGAATCCTAATTAAATTCTCGGATTATCCACTACCCGCGTCTTTTTCCGTCATTTTTATCTCAGAAAATATTGTACGTCTAACTCTTCATAAAGTTTATCAACTTGTACATCATGCGCTCAATGTTCGCTTGTGACCTTTGACATCGTGCGTGCAGAAGTTGCTAATCGTCGGGCTGTTGATTAGGGGAACCCTTACATTTTTGTCCTGTATACGCTCCATGAGTGTTTTTCGGGGAATCCAGTATTTTTCTAGTAAGATTGGATATCTCTACTTTCCATATATACCAAAATTGCCATACTTTTATTGGAAATAACCACCTGATAAATACTTTTCTGGGAACCCATCTTTAAGTTAAGAATTTACTCAACTTTCAATCTCTGTTAATGAGAAATGTCATTGTCTAGAGAAAATCGTGCCAAGACCGATTTATACGGCCTGGGAAAGGTTTAAGAGTCAGATATTTTGACTCCAAAAAATTGGGTCGGTTTGTGTACCCATAAACACAGGTATTTTTATTTTTTTGGCCTTATGGAGTTGATGACATACTATAGTATACATGTAAATTTCAATGATTTGAAAACTAAGGACTTAATATTTGTGAAGTATTCTTATGTTAGGATTTACGTGTATTTATTTTGTATGTTTGGATGTATTTATGAATGTTTTGTAATAAACCCAGCGTATACCATATATAACTATCTAATCATGAATTCTGTACATTCTGATTGCTGCATTATACAAATTTCGGATTTGTTCATTTTATATTATTATTGCTGCATTATACAAATTTGAATTCTGTACATTATGATTGCTGCATTATACAAAATGGAATTTTGTACATTATGATTGTTGCATTATACAAATTTGAAATTTGTACATTTAATGATTGCTGCATTATACAATTTGAATTTTGTACATTTTATGATCCCTGCATACTGCATAATACAAATTTTATGTAGACTGCATTATGATATACAATTTTTAATTTTGTACATTTTATGATTGCTGTATAATACAAATTTTATGTAGACTGCATTATAATTATGATATACAATTTTTAATTTTGTACATTTTATGATATACAAATTTAAATCATGTTAATTTTACGGATACTGCATTGTTAATACCAACTAGAATTCTATGCATTTTATATATACTGCATTATGTTGTATAAATTAGAATACTGTCCTTTTCTGTGTAGTTTATGAATACTGCTTTATGGTATACAAATTTTATGAAAATTACATTAAATAATTTTGAATATTGTACATTTGATTAATTGTGGAATGAATAAATGTGTAATAATGTTTTACTGTATTGTATAAAATGAATAATTGTACATATTCAACCCTATCATTCTTAATAAAATAGATTCCATTCCTTATTTTAATACCATTGTAATTTCTTTTTAGCTTGGTGTTGGCCGAGATATAGTTCCTCAGGATTTCCCAGCGTCGTTTCCCCCTTATCAGTGGTGCAGCTACATGAAGGGCCTGACAAATGCCATTGTTTGGCTCATTTTACCAATTTCCTCAGATCAGCTCACCAACTTAACAATATTCCAGGCAATCTGGCAGCAGGGCCCAGTCTGTGCAGAAAAGTAGGACCTTAAATCTCATGTCATTGTCATTTTAATGAATAAATCTTGCAAGTTCAAATCCCTGTGTAATGGTAAGAGGGGGGGTGGGGGGTGTCGCTCTGGCCGAATAGTCTAATATGTGCGATCATAAGGTCTGTCATTAAGTCAAATGGTTTTTCAATTCTCAGACCCCTCCTGGTGTGGGGTTGGCTGATTGATCTCATTAGATCATAAGGTCTGTCATTAAAGTCAAGTGATGTGATTTCGATCACAGGCATCTACTTGACAATAGGACACAGCTCACCAAATATTCCTGGGCTGTCACCCCGGTTCTCTTTTTCCCTCTTTTGCATGGCAATCTTTGTTGACTTTTTGGTGTAGAATTGAAGAAAAAGGTTTGAATATACATTTTCTGCCAGGTTTTACTGAATATTCATGATTTTGAGGCGGAAGGATACAAGAGTTAAAGAGTTTGGTTAGTTTAAGATGTAGGGTGGAAAATTGCATGTATGTTTGTCTCTACTTTCAGCTTATGTATCTCAAGTTTTTCATGATGAACCTCCTACGTGCTTATGGGCAAGAGAGGTTGCCACATGTTGCTCCATCTGTGGTAGAAAGCGTTCTACCCAACGAAAATTTGGGAAAAAGTTAGAGCTGATCTAAGAGACGAGAATTAACATTAAATCCAAAGGGGAAATCATTGGTGATCTGTGGCCAATAGATCCATGGATCTATACTGACAATAGGCAGAGATATGGGGCTTCATCTGGGTACTCAACTAAAAATAGATTCAATGAAATAATTTTTATTTCATAACAAATAATAATCAAGAAAAAACAAACATAATTACTTTTTTTTTTATAAATTAATACAATAATTTTATACTTGGTAAAATATTCCAATTGTTTTTATTCGTGGACATGTGGTGGTGGATAAAATATATATACACAAATTGCAATTAAATATACATGTATCATGTAACCTCTGACAGAAAATTATGTCGGAAATTGCATGAAATGAAATGGAGTTTAACACCCTACTGTTCTGCTCTGACTGGGCTATGAAGACGAGCCCAGTTCGGAGCAGAACATTAGGACGTTAAACCCCATTTCATTATCCTTATAAATATATACTTAGCCTATTTTAATATTTTTGTTCATACCGTAATTTAGCTCTTGCATAATCTATATTTAAGAACAGAACTAGAAAGACCTATTTGCTATAATATCCAAATTCATGAGTATAATATCGGACTGGTTCCACTGTCTAATTACTAAGAGATGCATTATGTAAGATTTTGATAGAAAGAACTTACAGTTTTCACTAAAATAGTTTAAAAAAAATTATAATGAAAAGGAAATATATTGAAAATTTCAGTCAAATTACTTCATTCTGAGTTGAGTTAACAGTGTAATCTTGTTTGTCATTGCTACATTTGTTACGATAACAAAGTCTCAATTATCTATTTTTGAATTAAATCATTAACTGCCAATCGTATTTAAATCTGTTGAAAATCAAAACCATCCAAAGTACTAGAGAGTTGATTATGGGTCTGGCATGTAAATAAATGTCTAATTAATAATTTATATAACATTTGAGGCCAAATGAAAGATCTGCTATAGGCAGATTTCGCCCTTACATAATGCATCTTTAATGGTTCAACACATTGCGAAATGTGAACCATGTTAATTTCACAAAAATTTTCTATGAAACGTTTAGATTGAAATATTTAAACAGGTACTGCAGGAAAACTGTCCTAAGGAACACAGAAAGAATAAACAGTTCAGGAATGCAGACAAACAGATTAAATATAGAATCTGGGAGAAAAAATGATTAAAGCTTTTAAAGAAGAATGGATTTAAAAGCATGGAATTTTACAAGTAAAGCGATATTCATTGTAGCGATAATTTTATTAAAGCAATATTTTTATAGAAGCGATATTTTTATCAAAGTGATATTTTTATTAAACCGATATTTTTTTAATCAAAATGATATTTTTATCGAGGCGATATTTATAAGCATATTTATGCTTGTTTTCGTATCCTTGTTATAAAATTGTAAACATTGCAAATAAATATGGTTAAACCATTAGTAAACATGAAAAATTACCATACACCTTCACTAATAAAAACTAACTAATAAAAACCACACTACATATTGTAAAACAAGAAATTAAAGGGGATAGTCCACCCATTGCTACATTTTAATAAGTAATCAAAGGACAGGGTCCACCTATTGGTTCATTTTAACAATGATAACATCTACTAGAATCAATTAATAAAAACTGTCTAGATGTATTCATGATGGTATGTGACATATACACGGAAAGTAGAGTTTGGCCTTATTATGAAAACCAACAGACAAAACAATTCGTAGTTGTAGCCACATCTACAAAATTAACACACTTATATATGGATATACTATTTCTGAATTTTATTAAACATTTTTGTTATATATCATCATTTGCTTGATAACGATATCTGTACAGTGGACTCTGTCACATCCGACATCGTACGGGATCGTTACAATATTTCGGATCACACAGCGTGTCGGAATACCAAGCTTTCTCCAAAACCGGAAATACTGTAACTTCGAAAACCGGAAGTATTTTTATATTGTAGCTTCGAATCACCAGAATGCTATTCCCTTTAAAAATGATAAACCTTTCTCTACTTTCAAAATTTTATAACATTAAATAATTAACAATAACAATGCAATTTTGAGTTGGTGTAAAATCGTTTCTTACTGCAGTTTAAATTATCGGCAAACTTCTGTTTAAATTCATCTTTACGCTTTAATATGTCTGACACTGTAGCTCGGCCAATTGAATACTTAACGGCTAATTCCTTCTGCGCAGGTCGTGGAACTTTCTCGAAATCTGTTATAAGTTGCCACTTTACATCTAATGTCAAATCTGTTCAGGCAATCGCGGCAATTTTTATATAATGTCGCGGTATTTGACATGAGTAGCTAAAATCAAATACCAAGCGCACTCTTACAAGAGATTATAAATTGTAAAATAATCAACAAAGAATTTATAACATTATCAAAGTAATCAACACAGATCGGCGCTTGCGAGTTTTAATCTAATCGATAATTGATTGGTGATTGCTTGTTAATCTTTTCTGGCTTCACACCCATTGAGTTTTATTCTCACCGATAATTGGATGCTTCACACCCACTGTTTGAAGTACGGATTATATGGTGTCGATTCAATGGAAATTATGTGACGGGACGGCTGATTGATGTCGGAATCCGGAACATACAGAATCCTAATTTACCAGCGATTTTTTGGCTGAAGTAATAAGGAATTAAATCGGGACATGAAAATAATGTCGGATGTCACAGCAATCCGGAGTGATCAGATATCGGATGTGACAGAGTCCACTGTATGTGTATTGAAATATGGCATGTTAATAAAATTCAAAAGTAGTATATCCATATTAGTGTGTTAATTTTAGTGAAATCTTATAAGGATTACATCTACAAAGATACACCAAATCCATTTCAACACATAAAAAACACATTTTGTTTCCCTTTCCCTTTCAAAGTTACATGTTTTCAAAACACATTTTTAAATAAAACAATTATTTTTATAATCTTATTATTAAGACACATAAAGCTAAATCCATAACTTTTAACTAAAAATGAAATGGGGTTTAACGTCCTACTGTTCTGCTCCAAACTGGGCTAATGAAGACGGACATACGCCATACAGTGTGCTATTAGGGAAATTTTGCCCAAACAGCGACACTATGGCCTACTCTTATATCGAATTCCAACTGCCAAGGGATCTTTTACGTGCACGCCAATGTGTACACAGGACCTCAGTTTTTCATACCATCCGAACGACTAGACAGCTGTCCTTGTCAGGCCCTCAGTCTTGCACCACTGACAAGAGGAAACCACGCCAGAAAATCTGGATGAACTTTCTCGGCCAATGCAGGGATCGAACATGTGACCTCCAGGCTAGTGAGCCAGCGCCACAACTTTAACCACTCTTACCATAATAACACCAATTTCATTTTAAATCAAAAACACAATTTGTGTCCCTTTCAATCTTTTTCAAAACACATTTTTGAATAAACAGTTTTTCTCTTAATAACAACATCAATTTGATCTTGTTTTCAATTAATTTTGTTACTTTATGCACTACAAAAATATATACATTAGTACAAAATATACAATAATAATAAAACCAAAACTGTCAAAAAGAAAACACATTAGCCTATATTGTGGTTTAAGTATTTATCACATCGCATGTGACAGTTTCATGACAGTTTCTTATTTTAACAGAAAAACAGTCCACAAAAACTGTCAAAAAAAAAAAAAAAAAATTATTAATAACAAAGAAAATACATTCTATTGCAAATAAATCAAATTGATAATTTCTTAAATTTTAGTTTAATTGTCAACAATTAATAATTCCTTCTATTTAATATTTACATCTTCTCTTTAAACATATATTATGTATGATTTAGATTAAGAGCTGGTCGTTCGAGCTATAATAGTTCAAAAATAGATAATGTAAAATGAATACATAGAAAATTTCATTCCCTTAATTTATTATTTTTTTTTTACATTTTGTGTGTACTTACATAGTTGTCTTAAAGTTGTTTCTTAATCTTATTCTAACAGAAAGAATAGATGCTAAAAGACCCCCCCCCTACTCGAAATAAAAATTAGTCCCGAAATTATCTAGTTCGTGGACGTTTACAAGAAATATGATTCGAACGATAGACCGATGGTGAAAATTGAAAGAAAGGGGTGATGACAATATACAACCACAATAAAACCTAAGTTTCATAATTGAATGAACGCAAATTAAGTAAGCTTATATAATATAATAGGCATGAATTTTGCGAAAAATATTTTGAAAATAAACTTTGATAACAATACAAACAACAAAAAACAACAAACATATAATTCTATAACTTGAAAATAATACAACAAAATATTAAACTTTTTGAAAAAAAAACATACAATGGACCAACCACAGAATCCTTTCTATCTGGTTTACTCCTTTTAACATTCACTCAAGTTTTATTTACTTCTCGTTAACATTATAAGGCCTCGAAATTCAGATAGAGAGAGAGAAAAATGGGGTTTAACATCCACTCGACACAAACCATGTCATATTGGGACCAATATATAGTTTAATTTTAATTCAATAATTCGCTTATGCATAGGGGTCTTTGGTAGTGATAGGAAGTTAGCCAATGGGAATACTTCATTAAAAAATCTCCATCTCATTCATATGCATTCACGGACCATTCGGATTTGTATTTTTTCCCATAAAGCATCAGGGCTGGGGCCATTATATGGCCAATATAATTAATTACATTAACATTACTTTTTAAATGTAATCATTACAGTTACTTTCTCATTTTTAGCAATGTAATTCATTACCATTACCTATTACACTGAAAGTACATGTACCATAATTAATTACCATTATCCATTTCATTGATAGTAATTAATTACCATTATCCATTTCATTGAGAGTAATTAATTACCATTATCCATTTCATTGATAGTAATTAATTACCATTATCCATTCCATTGATAGTAATTAATTACCATTATCCATTTCATTGATAGTAATTAATTACTATTATCCATTTCATTGATAGTAATTAATTACCATATTACCATTACTTTATGACTATATAAATAAAACCATTTTTTATGTACATTAAGAAGACAACCTTATTTTACTGTCGTGGAGCTAAGGTTGAGCGCTTTTTGTATCAGACTTATTTAAAAATATTGAAAAACTGGTATATTGTGATAAACAAAATTATTGTGTCCCAATATTGATGATAATACATATTCTATATCATCACCTATGACATTCAATTGATAGAATTAAATTCATCAGTAAAAATAACATTATGAAGTACCAGCTGGTCTAGGGTAAATATCCATCATGGCAACTACTGACATTAGCAACAATAATTTGACATCAAGCTGGCGATTTTCGGCCCACCTATTCCAAATTTGCCTTCTTAAGACACACGTATAAATTATCACGTTAATTTCATTTATCCTGATACTTGATAAATTATTATCACAATCTTTTTTTTTTCATTATCACCCAACCCTACGTGAAACACATACAAAATCCTGCTCTAAGAATCTTTCTTCCGTTTATGATCGGAGAGAAATCTTGTTAAAGCATTCATGGTTACAAAGCATATCACAATTTATGTTGCTCAAGAATTTTTCCATAAGGCATTACACAGAGTTGATAATGATTCAGACCTATATGTTTTTAACCCAAGAGAAATCGTATCAAATCATCCCGGGTTATAAACTCGTTTCCGATATCACCCTTTGTGAAAGTGGATGTAAAACTCCAGGAACGAATGAACAACAAATCAAACAAAATAGTTCTATGGAAAACAATTACTTTATCTTTAATCCGAGCTACCATGATTCTCTTGTCGTTTTTCAAGCACAATACTGATATAAAAGAGAGAGCGATAAATTGTGTTTAATGTCCACTCGACACAAACAAGGTCATTTCGGGACTAACATATGGTTCAATTTTATTTCAATAATTCGCTTGCGCGTAGAAGTCTTTAGCAGTGGGAGGAAACCGGAGGACCCCGAGAAAACCTACGAGGTTGGACAGTCGACCCTACTCCTTGTCAAGTACAACTGACAGACCTTATTATGCAGCACTATTCGGCCATCCACCCCCCCCCCTCCCCCAAGTCAGAAAGAAAGTAATGAAATGAAATGGGTTTTATTATCCTAGTGTTCTGCTCTTACTTGGATAATAAAGATGGGCATACGTCACACAGTGTACTTTAATGTAAAATTTGCTCGGGCAGTGGCACTATGTCCGACTCTTATATATCAAATTCCAACTGCCAAGGGATCTTTTGTGTGCACGCCAATGTATACATGGGTCCTCTGTTTCTTGTCCCATCCGTACGACTAGACAGCTGTCTTTGTCAGACTCTTCGTCCTACATCACTGACAAGGGAAACCACCCCGGAAAATCCCAATGAACATTCTTAGCCAATGCAGGGATCGAACACGCAACCTTCTGGTTAGCGTACCGGCATTTTACCCAATTAGCCACCGTGGCTCCCGAGTCAGAAAGAAAGAAATAGATACTATGCACTAAAAATACAGCCATTGTTTTCCACAGAACTCTTGCGTTTATTTTAAGGCATTCAATTACTCAAATTTAATGTGGTTTAAACAGTATAAAGCTCAGATATTCATATCACAATTTACATCTTGGCTTCAACGTCCACAGCTTCTGACTTGACAATAGCTTCTGACTTGACAATAGCTTCTGATTTGACATGAAATTCAAGATGTTTCTTAAGAGCGATACGTTGTTTGAAGCCTTTATTACACTGCTCACACACGAAAGGACGTTCGTCTGTATGAGTCCGAATATGGTCGTCGAGGTGACACTTTTGAGAAAATACTTTATCACAAAAATTGCAATGGTGATTTAGCGCAATTTCGCCATACGACCTGTTCTTGTGTCGTAAAAAATTGTGTTTCTCCCGAAACCGTTTTCCGCAGACTTGGCATTCATAAGGCATGACATCTGTGTGTAGTTTTTGGTGCCGTTTAAAACTAGTGTTAAATTTGAAGGTCTTTTTGCAGATATCACATTCAAAAGGTTTCACATCAACTTCCGTCTCGTGAATTCGGAGATGAGACTTAAGATGGCTGTTTGATTTAAATCCTTTTCCGCAGATTTCACAGGAATAAAGTTTCTCGTCTGAAAAAAAAGATTAAAGGGGCATTAAGTAAAATTACAATGTGATTAAAACACAGATCTTATTTTGTTTCATTTTTGTAGTTCAAAATTTCATTTGACTTGTCTTTACAACACTGGATCTGGAAGAGTTGTTGTATAACCCGCGTTCTAGATAATGTGAGGGATTAGCCAATGAAACGGTCTGTTACGGCGAGTTTTTGGCATGAGGTGCACGGAACTGTGGGTAACCCACTAGAAACCTCAATGCTGATTGGTTAATCAAGTGTCTGATGTCATAGGGTCAAAAGCGCTTGTATAATGCCTGACACAACATTCCACTACAACCGATCAGATCTTCATGTAGTAGAGCTCATCAAAAGTATAAAAAAAACGAAACGAAATATAGATCTGTATTTTAATCAGAGTGGTAAGAAAAGAGTTATATTACATGACTGAACCCCTGTTGCACACTCAGCGTAACTAAAAAACATGGCTGTAGGTCAGGCTGACTGATTGGATTTGTCTATTTTTTTAAATAGTCTTAAAGTGTCATAAGGTAACATTAGATAAAGAGCTGACATTCCTGTTGTAATAGTTAAAAAATAGATAATGTAAAGAGAATATGCCGAAAATTTTGGTCAAGTTGCTTCACTCTGAACCTAGATATCAGCGCTTCAGTTTTAGTCTAGCCTCGACTTTAATTACTACCATTGTTACGATAATAGACAAAGTCTTGATTATCCATTTTTACGGTCATTTCGTCCACCACAAAATGTATTCAAATCGAAGCACACCATGGCATTGAGAATTGACTATGGTCTTGGTAAATTAATTAATGTCTAATCAATAATTTAAGTTATATTTATATAAATGACTTGTAATGACACCTACTCAACATGCTTGTTATTATTGCACAGAAAACCCACCCCACTTGGCCACTTAGCCCCGCCTAAAACACGAGATCAAGCCTTCTATGGAAGATGATATGTTCCCAATTACTAAATACCACTCAAAAGAAAATACATACCTGAATGGACGTGTACTTGATGGACTTGAAGCTGCGATTTGGTTTTAAAACTTTTGTCACATTTATCACAATGAAAGACTTTAACACCAGTATGGACCAATAGATGTTGGTTTAAAGCTGATTGTTGGGCAAACTTCTTCCCACACGCATCGCAGGAATATGGCTTCTCTCCGGTATGCGTTCGGATGTGGCGTGTTAGATCCGATGGACGTAGACAGGCTTTCGGACAATATGGACATCCATACGGCTTCTCCCCACTATGCATTTTCAGGTGAATCTCAAGCTGACTGAAGTAGGGAAATTCCTTTTCACAGATTTTACATTTGGGTTTGAAATCAGCCATTTCTTATTGATATGATATCATAACAAGAAGTTTAGAATAAGGGTCTGCATGTCACAGATGCTCTGAAATAGAAAGAATATTATGTATGTTATCAAATTAAACGTGTCTAAGCCAGGCCCAAAAGATATGTTGCCAGGCAACGAAACATACGCCCACAGCAGCTAAATCGTCTGGGCAGTCAACAAGTGTTGTCTCATATTTTTTACTTTTTTCAGTTATCAAACATTTATAATACACTAAAATCTGATTAAGAGTAACAACTCATGAAGTAATTATCAGAAAACCATTAGAATTTGTTTGTTTTTTATAAAGTTCTGCCCCATGCTAATATTTAGTATACAAAACTTTTAATATCATGGATTTAGCTGTTCAAGTCTTAAACTCTGTGATCAATCTGAAGTCAATCGGATGATAACTTTAGCCTCTAGAGCGTCACAAGATTTTTCAAAGTGATCAAGGGCCATAACTTTGACAGTAATTATCGGAAATCGTTGAAAATCAATAGGATTCTTTGTCTCATGACCTCAGACACTGTGTATAAATTTAAAGTCAATCAGATATTAACTTTAGCCTCTAGAGCATCCACAAGATTTTTTGAAGTGATCAAGGGCCATAACTCTGGCAGTAATTATCTGAAATCACTGAAAATCAATAGGCTTCTTCGTCTCATGACCTTAAACACTGTGTATAAATTTAAAGTCAATCGGATATTAACTTTGGCCTCTAGAGCGTCCACAAGACTTTTTTGAAGTGATCAAGGGCCATAACTCTGGCAGTAATTATCGAAAAACGTTGAAAATCAATAGGATTCTTCATCTCATGACCATAAACACTGTGTATAAATTTAAAGTCAATCGGATATTAACTTTAGCCTCTAGAGCGTCCACAAGATTTTTTGAAGTGATCAAGGGCCATAACCCTGGAGCTTCTTCACCTCATGACCTTAAACACTGTGTATAAATTTAAAGTCAATCGGATATTAACATTAGCTTCTAGAGCGTCCACAAGATTTTTTGAAGTGATCAAGGGCCATAACTTTGGCAGTAATTATCGAAAATCGCTGAAAATCAATAGGCCTTTCGTCTCATGGCCTTAAACACTGTATATCAATTTAAAGTCAATCGGATATTAACTTTAGCCTCTAGAGCTTCCACAAGATTTTTTGAAATGGTCAAAGGCCATTACTTTGGCAGTAATTATCGAAAATCACTGAAAATCAATAGGATTCTTTGTCTCGTCGCTTTAAACACTGTATATAAATTTAAAGTCAATCGGATATTAACTTTAGCCTCTAGAGCGTCCACAGGCAATTGTGGAGGCCGGCCGGCCGGACGGGGGTGACGACAATATACAACCACATTTCAATGCGGGCATATAAAAAGAGAGAGAGAGAGAGAAGTGGGGTTTAACGTCCACTCGACACAAACTAGGTCATTTCGGGACTAACATGTGGTTTAATTTTATTTCAATAATTCGCTTGCGCGTAGGGGAGGAAACCGGAGGACCCGGAGAAAATCCACGAGGTTGGACAGGCGACCCTACTCCTTGTCACGTCAACCGGGGATTCGAAACCACACCAGTTTACTCAATGACAGGCCGTATGATACAGCACGCACGTGCTAACCATTCGGCTATCCAACCCCCCAAAAAGAGAGAGAGAGAGGGTTTAACGTCCATCCGACACAAACTAGGTCATTTCGGGACTAACACATGGTTCAATTTTATTTCAATAATTCGCTTGCGCATAGGGGTCTTTAGCAGTGGGAGTAAACCGGAGGACCTGGAGAAAACCCACGAGGTTGGAGCATATAAAAAGGGTAAATGTCAAATATATCTGTAATGTGTGTGTGTGTCAACCCGAAAAGGTTTAATTAGTCTTTTTGTGTATTACAGATGTAATTAAAGTTTTGGTATTTTAGAGAACCGATTAATCCAGTCAGCTGAGTACGTCCGGTGCAACACAAGTAATCCCCCCCCCCCCCCGAGTTTGATGCACGCAAATCTTCTTTAGATTTGCACGTCAGTTGTGACACAACATTTTTTATCTTACATGCAGTGTCTTTAACCTGTACTGATTGTCATGTCTTCTGTTGTTGATCGGTAACAGATAATATGATAATACCTGGCATGCAAGGTGTTGGCGGTAACAGATAATATGATAATACCTGGCATGCAAGGTGTTGGCGGTAACAGAACAATTTCAAATTTAAAATCAACCTTTTCTATCATTGGGGACAACTACCCAAATGTTAAGTAATGACTCAGTGAACAAGTCAAATTGAGTCATTTATTGACCCAATTGAGATTTTGTGTATGGCTAATGTGTACAGTTGTTGCTACAATTTCGAATTTCAGTGATACTTTTTTTTTAGGGAGAGAGAGAGACAGAGAGATGGGGTTTTAACTCGACACAAACTAGGTCGCATTTTGGGAATATGAATAACATATGATTCAATTTTATTTCAATAATTCGCTTGCGCGAAGGGTCTTTAGTAGTGGGAGGAGGACCTGGAGAAAACCTACGAGGGTGGACAGGAAGCCTTACTACTCCTCACGTATAACTGACGAATCGCAAAACCACGCCAGTTGACTCAATGACAGACCTTATGATGCAGCGCGCACATGCTAACCATTCGGCCATCCAAACCCCCCTGTTCTTTTTTTTAAATTGCATGACAGGCAAAGTATATGTAGCTTTTTTTATCATGGATGGAATTATTACGTTCACACTTGAAGTTGTACACTGGAATTTAGTAAGAATTTTCATTGCACGCGCATGATTGCATCGAAATCGGACATGCCGGTGCTCTGCAGACTGGATTCTATCTAGTAATTAATTAAGTTTTGGTATTTTAGAGAACTGATCAATTATCCCACATGTTATTGTAGTGATAATGTTATAACCTTGCTACATACATGTACAGAATGGCTAGATTACAGTTTATCTCTCAAATGAAAATTACAATCTTCCATTTATAAAAATGGTACGTTTTCATTGTGTGTCAGTGTGCCGCGGCACACCTCCTAAATGTGCTGCGAAATTTTGAATGGCACACTAAGAAAATGTGAAAAACCATGTGATCCCAATTGAGTATCCATTGGTGTCTACTGATAAGCTGTGTTTTTCTTTAATGTAGTTTGGGCTATTCTATACATGTGTCTATAGGAGCTTTTACGCGTGACGTACTTCCGGTGTCTATTTTTAGCCTGGCCTTTTTCTATCCGTATCTTAACATGGTAAATGCTAGGGAAAGCGGGGTTTTCCCTCTTTTTCTCTTTATAGAAAACGTATTCTTTAATGCCACTCTTGTTTTAAGTTGCATGTAGCATTCGTAATAAATTACCGATTTCAAATCATGTCTAAGTTATTATTTTTTTGTTTTAATGACGATATACTGCGTTGTAGCAGACGATATATGTCAAGCTCGCACACGGCCCAGTTGACCGCAGTACGCAAAAGCATTACAAAGATGCACTGCTGTATGAAGCCGATTTATATGTTTTGTTTTAATTTCACTGCAAACAATTAATAGATAACATCTGTTTGGTTGTAAAATGCCATGAAATAGAGCATAAGAGTAAATTATAGAATGGGTAATTAGAGATGGTGACCTGCGGTTCCACAAAAGAATTATTCAAGACGATATTAAAATTTAAGCACGACCGTAGCACATCTAAAAAAAAAAGAGAACAAATAATAATCACGCTGTATAGAATGCACCGAGTCCAGTTACATATTTTCATTCAACAGTTGTTCTCTGAACCAAATACTGAATTAGAAATTGATAAAATGGACACAAATGTATCGTTCTTCTTGGTTGCGGCAAGATAAACTGATCCAATTAAAATTTCAATGAGTGCCAAAAGCTAAGCCAAGACGATTTATGTGACTACAATTAACAGAAAAAAACAGTTTTAAAAAATATTCACAGATTCAACTTGTTCGTCGTTTTCTTCTTTCTGTTATTCATATCCCATCAATCAAGAGGAAAATTTATAAAAATGGCTGAAGTTTTACCCTGTGCACCAAACAACTATTTTATCATTGGTAAGAGCCGTCTAAACGCGGGGAAATTTACAATAGCTATTGGCTAACAGCACGCATGCATAAACAATCTTATTTGCATATTGCATACTATTTATAGTATTATTAGCTGGAATTATTTTCAAGTCGACAGCCTCAAACAAAGACCAACGTAGTACCGTGTTTTGTGTCGAGTACGTAGGGTCGTAGCATGCAGTGCTATCGCAGACGATATATCAACCTCGCAAAGAACTGTCCAGTTGGCAGTTGAATGTAAATAGGATAGACCATTTAAATCTTTTGTGTTAATATGTCCCATAATTAATATATAACATCTATTTGACCGTAAAATGCGTAATAAACTTCACTTAATTCTAGTTCGGGCTATTGAGCACGGATCAGTCATCCACTTGTTTCAATTGCAAACGGCCAATTACGGGTCTGGTAAACTTGCCGTATCTTTCCTATATCGCTTTCTGCCATCGGTCGGTAAACTTTATGCGTATATAGAAATGGCATTCAGTTCCATTTTATGTAAAAGAAGCTTACTGTACGACAGTATTTTCACAAAAAAACACACACTGGCCTATGGGTTTCAGTCTAAGAATAAGGCCAATGTCTGCGCATGACCGAAAATGACGTCAAAATGAAACCCGTAAAAGCTCCTATGAGTATGACTAGTCTCTGTCTATGCCTACGGTTGCATGCCGTCTGACTTACCATGTTTTTATTTTGCAAAATTCAAATATTTTTCATATACATTAAGCCAGGTGTGCCGCTATTTTTTCATGTGTTCCATGGTGTGCCGTGGTGTTGGCAAAAAACGGTAGCATATATATGGCCTTGCTCTTGCCACATGACATGCGCTTTCAGCAATGCAGTTTTGTTTCACTTTCACTTACCCACGTTTATATCGACGTAACAGAACACGGTAAAGCAAAGCTCGGTGCATATTAACTGGTTACGTAGACTAAATAAACAAATGGCAGTTTTTCAACAAACAATTATTTACCCTATAATATATTATTGCGTAGCAATATTGACTGCATGCCACAAATTTGTTTGTGTTTTTAAGTTCAAGGAAGTTAATAGGGGGCAGCCATCGTGTCAACAGTTAACTTCCGGTTGGGTCTGCTTAGATTATGAACGTGGATCATACAAAAGCCTAAAGGGAGACTCACATTTATTTATGCCTAATATTATATTCTAAACGGGTATCAAGAGAGAAATGAGGTTTATCGTCCACTTGACAAAAAACTATTTAGGAACTAACTTGTGTTTCAAATTTATTTCAATAATTCGCTTGTGCGTAGGAGGGGTCTTTAGCAATAGGAAGGAACCGGAGAACCCTACTCCCCGTCACGTAAGGCCTACAAGCGATGAATCGAAGTGACTGACTTCCCCCCCTTTTTTTCTAATTAACCAGATAGCACTGATCTTCTTACCTTTGCAGTTCATGAATTTGTGTAGGCCCCTTTTTGTTTTCAATTTTTTTTTAAAAGTAGCCTATTTAACCCGAACAGTACTCCGATGTTGTTACAACTATAATTAACACTCGTTAAAAGTTGTTATTCATGTGGCGTGACACGGATTAATTAATTATAATTGATCGAACCACTAACCTCAATGACAGACCTTACGATCTAAAGCCCACGCGTTCAACCATTCACGTTTACACCGCGGAGAAAAGGTTTACATCGCGAAGAAAACTTTACACCGCGGAGAAAAGGTTTACATCGCGGAGAAAACTTTATACCGCGGAGAAAAGGTTTACATCGCGAAGAAAACTTTACACCGCGGAGAAGAGGCGGAGGAAAGGGTTTACACCATCATTAAATACAAACATTTTGTCGGGAATTTCATGGTGAATTGTATAAGGAAAACGATGGAGGTAGCGGACCCTGCGGCGATATTTATAATGGATGAAATGAAATGAAATGGGGATTTAAGGTTCCACTATTCTGCCCCGAATGGGCTAATGAAAACGGGCAAATACCATACAGTGTGCTAGGACGGAAATTTTGCCCTGACAGCGGTGTGATAGTTTGAGTTGACTCCTGGTGTGTGTTTTCTCCTGGGCACTTGCGCATGTCCGAAACTGATGTTTGCCTTAACAACTATATCTGCAGTGTGAGTTGGTTCCTGACCACTGGTCAGTACAGGAAAAAATATATCATGTACTTGATTAGAGTTTTGTCATTAATAAAATACTGGTTGACTCGATTAGCTGTTGTTTTAGCGATCAGTAGTTACACGATCAACGGATCTAAGTTGATTGGCTTGAAATTGATACTTCGTTCGTTTTTTTTAGTGATTAGTCGTTCTACACACGTACGATCAGTGGAAACCATACAAATTGATGATTGGCTTGAAATTATCAATTAATTCACCTCCAAAGGAAGATTAAGGCCTTTGATATTTCGTGGGTTCATTTAACACAAATATAAAAGTATGGAATTTCTTATTCCGATTTCTTTAACATAAATATAGATTTATTACACCTGTATTCAAACATGCATGTAGACAGCCCAAATACTAGAGAGAATGTTCGCATTGTGGACGGGTATATATACTAAATAATAATAATAAAGATCGTCAATTTGCATCCTCTCTTAGTGGTAATATTGTAAATATATAATAGTCTATAATATATTGATTTGACCTTAAGAACATCTTAGGGGAAATCCTATCACGAGGAGTCAATGCACACCGCGTCTGTAACGGTGTGAGGTGACTCCTACAACTGCGCATGCGCCAAACGGTAATCACACACCAGGGACCATCTGAAACTGCCACACCGGCGCCACGTTCTACTCTTATACTGCGAATTCTAACTGCCAAGGGATTTTTACGCGCACACCAATGGTCTAAAACAAAACATCAATGTAATGTTAGCGCATATAAAGTGATTTACGTTAAATTCTTAAATTATAATACACTAGGCTTATGTTCGATGGGATATGCGAACAGTCCAAATTGAATGGCAGTCGCTTGCCTTGTCCATTCTACATAGATTGTTTTAATTGTTATTTTGTCGTTTCTGAATCAGCCATTTTGAATTACTACCGCAATGTCTTCTTGAATGTTTTTCTTTGTTCATTACAAATGGTGTTGATAACCTTTATGCTCACACAGTACACGACCTCGTGTACTGGTTTTATATTAACTGCCCATTTTAAATTATTTTGTCGTTTCTGAATCAGCCATTTTGAATTACTTCTACATTGTCTTCTTGGATATGTTTTTCTTTGTTCATTACAAATGGTGTTCATAACCCTTATTCTTACACAGTACACGACATCGTGTTCTAAGTTTAAACTGCCCATTAATTACTCGTTTAATTTCTGTTGTTTATTTTTAGCAATGCACGTGTAGTTTTGTCTTATCGGTTTTGTTTTGTGTTTAGTTGCCGTTCTCCACGTGTACTGGTTTTGAAGGACAATATTGGTGCCAGTCATTATCACATATGTGATAGAGCTGGTTAAACACATTCCAAATATAATTTTAACACAGAGATCATTGCTACGATAGCTGAGTAATACAGGTTTTCTGAATCGGAAGTGACGAACGCCAAAGGAAAACACGAGTCATCTCTCTATATAACTGACTGATGTGACGAGTGATAACAGATACACGGCCGGATTTCTGCTCATATCTAATGTCATTAGATAAGAGAACACGAGAAAATAGAAATAGTCCGTACATTCCCTTGTTTATATTCATTCTATACCTTATAAAAACATGGTAATGCACGGACTTTTCTTTTTTTTTCTTTCGTGTTCACTTATCTAGTGGCAGTCAATTCTTTTTATGAATTGTCAGATATCCTCTCACAATCTCACACAACAACTTTTGGTCTTCGAAGGAGTTATTAGTGAGCAGAAATTCGCCCGTATATCCATTATCACTCGCCACATCAGTCAGTTATATAGAGAGATGACTCGTGTTTTCCTTTGGCGTTCGTCACTTCCGATTCAGGAAACCTGTATTACTCGGCTATCGTAGCAATGATCTCTGTGTTAAAATTATATTTGGAATGTGTTTAACCAGCTCTATCACAAATGTGATAATGACTGGCACCAATATTGTCCTTTAAACTGCCCATTAAATACCATACTCCCCGCAGTGTTTCGTTTGATTAGAGCTAATTCCACTTCTCACTGCTGTAAAGGAGCCAAATTCTTGTTCTAAATTATGACTGGTCAATAGGCCGATTAACAACCAATAGCTAACTGCGTAACAATACCAAACAGAGGTCCCAAAAAGGTTTACATAACGTTAAAGATGGGTTCCCGCGTACAAACAGGGTGATTTAATGGTATATATGGACTAGAATAACATATTCAAACTATTAAATTTGTTATAATTTTGCTTCAAATCCTTCTCAAACATTGTAATTGCGAAGGAATGTCCTGCTATAAAAATTCGATCAAACCAGGTCATGTTTACGTCACGTGACTTACCTCTCTTGGAAGTCAGAGGAGAATTCATTGCATACATAAGACGATATTGTCTTTTATCGCTTACTATTTATTACAAATATCGAATCCTAATTAAATTCTCGGATTATCCACTACCCGCATCTTTTTCCGTCATCTTTATCTCAGAAAGTGTTGTACGTCTTACTCTTCATAAAGTTTATCAAATTGTACATCATGCGCTCAATGTTCGCGTGTGACCTTTGACATCATGCGTGCAGAAATTCCAAATCGTCGGACTGTTGATTAGGGGAACCCTTACATTTTTGTCCTGTATACGCTCCACGAGTGTTTTTTGGGGAATCCAGTATTTTTCTAGTAAAATTGGATATCTCTACTTTCCATATATACCAAAATTACCATACTTTTATTGGAAATAACCACCCGATAAATACTTTTCTGGGAACCTATCTTTAAGTCATGACTCACGATTTTTTATGCCCAATTAACCAGTGCATAGTAGAATATTGCAGAAAAACTAATTGTGTGACAAACGAGGCTATCAGCACAGATATAATGTAAACAATACAGTTTTGAATCGAACAACACTTTCGCCGTTTTTAATACCTTAAATTGCTGTCCAAAGTTTTAGGGAAAGTCCCTGATTAAAAGAAGGGCTGTCATGTTGCCGTGCTTGGGGATAGATTTGATTGAACGGGAAGAATAGACACACTCCCTTAAAAGCGCAAGTATCAGAAGCTAATCCAGCAATGGCCAGAGAGTGATTTCTCGGGCCATTGCTTCAGGAATATGATTAAATACTGGATTTGATAATTTGTTGTTTATTTCTTGCAATGCATGTGTAATTTTGTTTATCTTATCGGTTTTGTTTTGTGTGTAACTTTCCTCCTGCACTTACTATTATATATAGTGCCCCCCTCCCCCACCATGAGACCAAGTAAGCGCCCCCGTGTGACAAAGTCCCCTCAGATCCAGTCCCAAATTGTAAGCTTTTGCTGACTTTTTAGTCTAAAATGGAATAATAAGATTTGAATTTACATTTTCTGTGAGGTTTTGTTAAATTATAGTCGTTCTTTTGAGGAGAGAGGATCAGGAATCAAATAGACTTGAAGTAGGGAAATCACCATGACACCAATAGATTCCTTTGACCAGATCTAGGTAAAAATCGAAACGGTCAATATTTTATCTTCGAAATGTCCAGAAAAATGTTATAGACCAAGAAATGTCATGGATTTAACATGGGTGTCAATGATGAGAAAACAACTAGTCTGATACCAGACAATATAAACCCGAGTTACCTCCCATTAAGCACATTGGAAAACGTTTTAGATCCGTTCACATACTCAGTAGCCGGCTGCCGAACCAGATTAAGATTTTTTAGTCCCATGTGCCAAAGGTTCTTTTAAATAACCTGTACACTGAACCTCGGTTCTTCGTCACACCTAAACGACCAGATGCTGTTATTTCCCAGGCCATGCACCCCTGACAAGGAGAAATCACCCATTTGTGCTTTCAGTATGAGCATTCATCTTGATCTATCAAATTTGTCTAAATTAATATTTGCTTTCAAAAAGTTGTACCGAACTGTCAAAATTGTCGATTTTGGTAAAATTACGTTGCCGACAGGATACTTTATCGGTAATAAATAAAAGACATTTTA